ATGACTTAACTAATATAGTTTCTGTGTGATCATTTTGGTTCTGGGTAGCCAGGATGAACAAGTGGTCGCTCCTCCTACAGCAGAGGAACAGAGGAAGCCAACAAATATTCATTCTAGGCCCATGCTCCCCTTCCACAATGTAGGAGTAGATTAGGCTACATGTAAATATGGCCCTTCCAGATCTGACAGCTTGTAATGCTCAGTCAAAAGCCACATGAGCACCATTGTTTTTATTTTTCTTTTTTTCTTTTTTTTTTTTTGTGACAAGGTCTTACACTGTAGCCCAGTCTGGCCTCAGACTCATGGTAACCCTTTGCCTTATCCCCCAGGTACTTGGATTACAACAGTGAGCAATCATACCCAGCTGAAAACCAGATTTCTTCATCACACTGAATCTACTCTGATGTGGGATTCCCTTTTATATGCTGTGAATACCATTAGTTAACAAAGAAACTGTATTGGCCTGCACAGGGCAGAATTGAGGTAGGTGGGGAAAACTAAACTGAATGTTGGGAGAAAGAAGGCAGAGCCAGTGAGACTCCATGTAGCCGTGAGAGGGGAAAGACAGGTGTTGATAGCTGGAACCTTGCCGGTAGGCCATTAGCCTCATGGCAAAATTTAAAATAATAGAAATGGGTTAATTTAAGAGATAAAAGTGAGCTAGAAATATGCATAAGCTAATAGGCCAAGCAATGTTATTATTAATACAGTTTCTGTGTGATTATTTTGGTTCTGGACATTGCGGAACAAACAAGTAGCCCCCTACAACACTACTCTACAGTTCTGTGTTTCAGTAGGCTCTCTATGAAGGCATTTTCATCCAAGACTGTTTTATTTAGGTTCCCTTTCTATAAATTGAAAAAATATTTACAAATGTAATGAGAAAGAGATAAACTAAGTCATGGTAGCATTGTTTAGTCAAAATTGCTTAAAAAATCTTACTATCTATTTATAACAGAGGGAGTATAAACCAGAGGAATAGAGTAATGCTCCTTACACACACACACACACGCACGCGCACACACACACACACACACACACACACACACACACACACACACACTTTATATTCCTCTTTAAATCTTTACAAACTATTTCCCTATTATGAATTCCCTCTCTGACTTTTTTTTTTGGCAAAAATGATGACAATTTTTAATTATGGAGGAACCACAAGTGTGAAGAGAGAGTACTTGGCACACTGGGAGCAAACAATCTCTTTAGCCGCGGGACTTCTCCTAAGAACACTTTGGAGAGATTTTTCGTGCTTGTTTCCAGTAGTATGGAGTATTTGTGGGTTTTACATTCTTATGCGGTCACAGACCATACACACAATCACATACACACAAAAAAGTCCATAAAAACTCAACGTCCTGGTCAATACCTACATATCCTCAAGTTAAGAATCAAGGTCACCTCTGTTAAAACTTCGTTTGGTGCTACGGCTGTTCCTATGGTGTCTATATAAACCTCAAAAATCATTTACAAATGTTTCTTAAATGCCTCCTATGGTGCTAGGGACCTTTGATAATGCTCTATAACACCAGTGACTGAATCTTTCTTATCTCTGGAATTCAGTTCATGGCTGGAGAGACGGTTTAAGCAGTTAAGAGCTCTTGCAGCTGAGTTCAGTTCCTAGCATCTGACGCATGTGCCTTTACTACCTTCTATAACTCCAGTTCCAGGGGATTCTATACCCTCTGTGCCTCTCAAAAGGCATACACAAGTCACATATACACATGTCACACACACATGTCACATACACACATGCCACACACACATATTTAAGCAAAAATAAAATAAACCTTAAAAATTTTATTTAAAAGATCTTCAGCATTTAAAAAGAATAAGAATTAACAGAATTGCCAACACCTTATTTTCTAGGTAAGGGCATAGCAACTGCTATTAATTGTAATTATTTTACAAAAGAAGGAAAATTTAATACCAGAATATATAACCTCAAGGCTATGAAACAATAAAGTTACCATTATGGAAAAACTGACCAGCACAGTGGGAATAGGCCTTGCTTTGCGTACTTTCTTTTTGTTTCAATTTATTAATTTTTAGATGCTTAGTGCCCATACTCTAGTAGAAAATATTGGATTAATATAATGAATAAAATACTAAATATGTCTCTCAGCAAGTATCTTTGGCCTATAGAAAGCTTACAGCCAGGGAACATGAGATAGAACACACCGGTGTTGGCAGAGTGGCAAGAAGAAGTGTCCATGGATATGAGTTGATAGAATTTTAGTGACGATTTTGCCGAGCACCAGCCATTCGTAAGATTTTGTGTGGCTATTAGCAAGAATATCTTGCATGGAAACAACAGAAGTCGAGACAAGAAATAAGAAAATGAAACATATATACTGTAGAAGAACTATGTTACAGAGAGATGATCTGTCAGTAAGAACAGTCTACATGACTCTAAAGTCAGTTATGAATTACTCTAAGTATAGGCTCTGTATATAGACAACATCTAACAATTATGTAATACATGCTGCACATGGTTCTAGGTTGCATGAGCTTATTTTTATTTAATCACTACAACCCATTGAGATAGATTCAAAGGCTCTTCTCTGACAGAGGGGAGGAAATGGAAGTGTGCAGATGTTAAGAGATTAACCCAAGGCCACAGTTAGCCAGAGACAGAGCCTGGTCTCGCCTGCACTGGCTGCTTTATAGCTCAAAAGAACTCACAGACCCTTTCTAGCTGTGTGCATCTCTGATGAGAAGAATCGGTTTAAGGTGATACTTTGGTACTAAAGAGGAAATCTAAATGTATTTTAGTTAGGATTCCAAAACTGCCAGAGAACAAAGTTTTTCTATTCAAAAGCTATGCAACCATAAATGCTTTGAGTGAAGTTTAATTTCTCCGTCCCTAAATAGTGATAGCAGTCAATCCCTCTGTTTTCAGAGGGATTATATGAGCAAAATGTTTTAAACACCTAGCAAGTGGCCAGGATTATAAAGAGACTTTAACAAATGTTAATTTATTATGGGTCCTAGTAAGATAAGATGACATTTCAAATTAAAATCAGCTCCAATATTAGAGGCAGGCTGAGAGCAAACAGATCATTCTTCGGTGCTTAAAGGTGTCTATATTTACAAAATACTTCACAGAGCCCTGAGGATTATCTTTGCCATAGTTTTCATTTTAATTAAGAACACGGAGCCCAGACATCTCAGCCCCGGAAGAAATTTGCACAGATGTACGTTTTCAGCTTCCAAATGTTTTGTTCCCTGGCTAAAGATATAACAAGCTATGTCAGCAAACCTGATATTGCAAAATAAATAGAAAATACTTACTAATTTAAAAATATATCCCAGGGAACAGAAAAGCCAAAGAATAACCACATGGCAGCATGAAATCTCCTTTACTTTGTAAAAACTGATAAATGACTTCAATTAGACAGATAAGATATAAAACCAAAACAATTCATCTCTATTTGTTATGTATACAAATATATGTGGAAATATACCTCTCTCTATATATTTAATATATAAATATATCTATATATTTAATCTCACTTTTTATTTTTTGAAACAGCGTTTCTCTATGTAGCCTGCAGCTCACTATGTAGACCAGGCTAACCTCCAACTCAGAAAAATCTGCCTGCCTTGGCTTCCTAAGTGCTGGGATTAAAAGTGTGTGTCACCACAGCCAAATTTTGTTAAAAAAATCAAGGAAAAACCAAATTGCAGAAAAATATAAAAACTATGAACTTATTTTGAAAAGTCAATGTTAATCCCAGTTGTATCTAAGTATACATTTGTAAATGGTTGAAATTTTCATTACAGGTTGTTATCCTGGTCATCTCAAAGTAGGTCACTCTGAAGGGAATTTGAGAGCGATCTTATTTTTAATTGAATATTTCATTCAGTGTGATTTGATCATATTTACCATATTTACCCTCCCCTAACTCCTCCCAGACCCACCACATTCACCCTCTCCTAACTCCTCCCAGATCCACTTTGTGTCTTCTTTCCAAAAATACATTATTTTTCATTTTTTTTATACCCGCCAAGGCTAATTTATGCTTCCCATATATTGTTGACTGTGTGGCCTTCCATTGGAGAGTGGTCCATTCATCAAGGGCTGTAGTCTTAAAGAGAACTAACTTGCTTTGGGAGATTTTTGTTTCATAACCATTGTTTCGCCTCTTTGCCAAGTATATTAATCATCTACTAGTTTTGGAACATGTTTAAAAATATGAAGCAAAAAAATGAACATTTTTTATTCATCCATCAATTTACTTATTTATTTATCACTCAATATTTGTTGGGTTCTTTATTGCTGGAAATTTAAAAGAATTAAAATTTTCTCTGGGAATTGTCAGAGCTGATTTTTTAGCGTCCTGTGCCCTTATGTTGTCACTTGTGGCATTAGAAATGTATTGACATGTTCTGAGAGTCCTGCCCTTCTCCCTCTTGGAGTTAATATGAGATATCAGTTTTAAATTCATTGGAAGCAAATTCATCTCCTTTCTTCTCACCCATCGCTTTTCCTCTAGAGGGAGGGTATGGGAACTCTCAAATTCTGTTTCATATGGGTTGCCATGGGTAGTAAGAACATGAAAAATAGAGTCAGAAGGGCAGAGTGTCAGTTCTGATCCCACACAATCAGATGGGTAGAATAGCCAGCTATTCCCTTCTTTCTGAACCTGGGTGTGATTATCTTTCACCAAGTAATGAAAGCCACTCTACAGAATGGCCACAAAACTCAAGTGGAACCAAAAGTCAAAAATCTTGATCAATCACTTTATTACGGAAACACGCATAATACTGTTTCTCCCAAGGAATCTGTGAGTATCTAGCAGGAGATCCCATTACACATACACAATTATTTGAAGATTTTCACAGAAAGTAAAACTACATTGAGTTTGAAGAACAGTTAGAAGCTTTAGTCAGTCTATCCACTAGGTAACAGTTGTCCTAGTACACATATGTTACTTGGTCCTAAAAATGATAATTGATCCACTTAAGCTAGAAGTGTATCTGACCTGGTGTAGTCGTCTTCAACCAGCATGTGCTTTGGAATTGGTGAGTACCTTCCTGGAGAGATGGGCGGCAGGGAAGTTTTGTATTCTAACGTGCCATTGTTACCAGACAGTAGATGATTTTCCATCGGTGGAGAATAAGCTATGGAGTTGGGGAGAGAGAAAGAAATATAATCAAACCTTTCATGTGGGTGACTCAATGTGTTATACTTCAGGGGATGTGTTGCAGATACAAAGGCTTTGCTGCATGCCAAAATTTTTCCTGTTCTCCAAGAGGGGTGAGTTGCTGTCTGTTTGCATTTCCCATACATAAGCACATGGTGACCTTTAGATTTGGAAAGATGTAATAGCAGTTATATTTATTGCCCACGTTAGCATAATTAGGTGATGAGAAGGATTTGAGGAGAGACTTGATACATATTTTCAGAACGATGATTAATTTTCTGTAGAAATGAAAATGCTAGCTTCTAATTGTAGGACTCACGTTCATTTTACATAATTAATAACCAGTTATCAAAAGCAAAAGGCTCCCAAGGAATACATTCTCCTACTAAACCTTCTCCACAAATAAGCTAGACGTCTATCACAGGGAGTCTACAATGTCAAAGACTTCTCTTCTCTTCTCCTTTAACCTCTCTTCTCATTGACATCTCTTGACAGGCGCTCTCTCCCTTCCCTTCTTTCCTCAAACTGGTTCCATATGCCAAGATAAACTCTTGAAATCCAACTTCGCTTTGTTTTCTCATGTTCTGCACTGTCACTATTGTTTGTGACACATTACACATTCTCTTCTTTCTCAAACTGATCAAACCAGTGTTTCTGGCATTTGCAGAACTGTTTTACTGAATAGAATATCTACTATTGTGTCTCTTACCCCAGCTCGGATGTATAATTCTGAAGGCAGCGATACATGAAATCTTTCTATTCTTTCAAAGATCAGAAATATCCCTTCTCTGAGTCACAAAGCGACATTTCTATTCATTTATCTGACTGTATATATTGCCTCTTATTTCCAACAAATTGTGTTGCTAGTCCCGTATGTGAATTAGCTTACCCTTTCGCCGTGCTGTTGAAGGCTGTGGCTGTATGTTCTCGAAAGTAAGATGGGTTTCACACATCTTACTTTACAAGTTATGTAGCACATATTAAATTACTCTAATTGACTAGAAACTTTTGTGTTCAGTGATAAACTTTCAGACCTACCTACTCTACTTTTCTAAATTTATTCAGTTCAAGTCTTTGAAAGTCAAAACTCTTTCCTACCCTAAAGTAAGGCTTACCTCAGCTTAGAGTCTTCTTTGGGGAAAAAAGACCATTTAGAGGGCAAGACATTTCAGAACCATTATTTAAAAAAGTAATAGCTAAAGTAATGGGCCTTTAGAGCTAAGGTTATTTAGCTCTTAAATTTTGCTCAAGAGAAACATCTAAATCTAAGAAAGATTCAACAGTTAAGGTGATGGTACTAATTAAAAGTTGGTCCTGAAGTCATCCCAAGCGCACACACTCACAATGGAACTCACAAAGTTTCAAATCCAACATGCTAATTTATACCAACAGAAACACCCACTGGGTTTTCACAAAAGTAAAGTCTTTCTAAATTTAGTTTGAGAAGACAGAGGAGAAGGAGCAAATCCTAAGTAGCAGTGAATTTGGTGTGGTCCCCAGAAGAGCGACTCATGTTAGCCGTTGCCTTCGGAGTGCCGTCTCAGCCACTGCTACGGACAATGACTGATCAGTTTCTTGATTCTACAGAGCCTTACAAGTTCAGCTAAAGACGAAAGTTAGGATGATGACTGAAAAGAAATGATTTTATCATCCCAGTGGCCAATCCCCTCCCCTAGAAGAAAGTGTAGAGCTATCTATGGCTTATTTTCCAACATCTGTCTTTCACTCTGCTGCTACGTGGATATGAACTAGGACAAGGGAATACATCAGCACGAGAGAACTCATGTTCCATGGGACTGAGAAATTATCTTCGGCATTGTACCAATGCTCTTGTAGTCAGCAAGAGTAAAATCACATCACTCTGCCCTTCCATTGGAGGACGTGCCAATCCATCAAATTGTCCAACCTTTAAAACACTAGCCGGGGTCCTGTAAGACAACATGGGAATGATGCATAGAATATTTTCCCTGAAGTATTTCGAGAAGCTTGACATGAGTGAAATTGCAAGCGGAGGTGAAAACAGCTTTGTGGAGGTCTATTCTGTATAACTGGCAGGCTGTGAGAAGACGCCGCCGAGCGTCACAGTACTTACAGTGAGTAATGTCAGGTGGGCCATAAGGATCAGTCATGTAAATGGTGGTGGGTTTGCCAACTTTTAGATAAACAACATCAGATGTGTTCTTCAGTATCGCTACAGCCTCTTCATGGGTCACTTCTTCTAAACTATAGTTGTTTACCTGAAAGGGGAGAAAGATCGAGATAAGAGTCAAGCCTGTGACGTGAAAGAGAACTACCTGGGCAGGCAGGGTGAAACTTGAAATTATGGCCTCAGTAAGATGTAGGACTTCAGTGATGAGTTGGGTATGTGTAGCATTCTTGACAGAACACACAGTGTAAGCTTTAACCAAGGCAGGTTAGGTACAGTTGTCAGTGCTACAAAACAGGGCCAGCTTTGTCCATCCCTCTGAGGAAGTGATTTAATAGCAAACAGAATAAGAGTTCTAGAAAAAAATAATAAATGAGCTTTTGAAGTATTTGGTATAGTTTTTATGACTAAAATATTCACATATATATGTTCATATATATATATATGGCTGAGTTTGCATATTCGTGATATAATTATGATTACTGAGAATATGTGAGGGTCTTGGATCAGTTCCCAGCACCACAAAAAGCAAACGCAAAAACAATACAATGAAGAAAGAATACACAGAAAGCATTGTACAATAATTAAAGAAGTCAAAAACACAAAAAAGATAAAAATAATTCACAAGCTTCCTCCTTTAATGTATTCCTTTAAGTCATTGTAACCACTTTGGACACATTATTTTGGATTCTGTTTTAGACACCTAGAGTGACTGTAACATTGCTATAATTAAGCAACATGGCTTTTGTTTTCACTGCTTTGCAGGGCTGTAAGGGTGATTTCAATTATCATGCTAGAACCTATTGAGTTTGCTCTTGCTCTTAATATGTTGTTACTGTAAATAATGTTGTGACAGATAATTATCTGGGCTTATCCAGCTTGGATATTTTTAGTATAACTCATACACATCACTTGTTAGTTTCCAGTATAATAGCATTGTTACAATTATTAATATCTGTTCTAAAAGTGCCCCTAGAAACTCATGCCAGCACGCAGTAATTCCCCCCACCACATAGGGCTGAGAACTGAACCCAAGGTCTTGTATATGCTATGCATTCTCTTGGTTACTGGTTACACCCTCAGCTATGAGTCTATTTTTTTCCCAAGGGAAGAGTGTTGATGTAACATAAGGAGTCTGAGCACATTCAAATGTGTCACATTTCTGTAAGTATCACCTGCAATGCAGTCTTTATCTTTACAAGGATAGGCCTATATCAAATGTTATTATAACTTCATAGCAAGAACACTACCACACTGGGTGTGTGCACTACTTATTGATTTTTACTGTATTGCAACCAGAAAGACATTGTCAATGGAGAAATTGAAACACATGCTCAAAAAGAATAGTATAAGCTTAGTTTGAGATACACAGTGACCTATAAGCTATCCTGAACAACAGAGAAAACTTTGTCTCATGGAACCAAAAATATGTACAATGAGGTTTAACTTACAGATTACACCCAATAAGTTAACAAAATGATTCATGAATAATAATACATTAAGGCAAGTATAAAATTATCGGCCTCACCACCTTTGCACTCTTATTAGGCCAAATAAGGGGTAATAAAATGCTTGCATGGTGACCTTGTGACCATCTGCTTGACAACTGAGGTGTGAATGCAGTGATTAGCAAGGAGGTCGTACATTGCTGCCCGGGGATTCTGTGGCGAGAGATGAGCCATGTAGGCTGGAGACTGATGCTGTGTGTGTTCCTGTACACTCAGGAAATCAGAGCTACAGATGTGTGCGGCTGTGACACACATTCTCTCTCCTCTGCATTTTCGTCATGCATGATATGCAGCACCATTTTTTCTATTATGTTCTTATACATGCCGATGATCACAGTCATAAAGTATCGATACATAGCCCAAAACAAATGTAGGCACAAACCTATTTTATATACACTAACTTCTTGCAAACATGTTTACATCGTCTGCAAGATAAATATACGATAAAATATATGTAAGTTATCTAATAGGTTATTGTGATGCTCCATTGTTTTAGTGTATGTCACTGTTCTGATAAGTGACAGGGGCAGAATCAAAAGCCAGGCGCTTTAACCCCAGGAGTCATCCTCTAACAAGCAATGCCCTGCTTCTTCAGCTTCCAGGTCTTTGCTCTAACCAACCCACACTCCAACAAGGTGCAGCTTGTGGAATGAATAATAAGGGAATAGAACCATGGATAGGGAGTGAATGTGGAGGATCCAGATATGGCGAACACAGTTGATGATGGCAGACTATTAATTACAGAGGAATAATAAAAATAGTAGGGCCATATTCTCTGTCATATATTTGGAGAGTGCGGTTATAAATATATATATATATGTATGTATTTTAGATTAATTTTTTTAAGGGTATGAGTCTTTGGCTTAGACATACTTCTATGTATCACATGCATGACTGGTGCCCAGGGAGATCAGAAGAGGGTATTGGATCCCCCGGAACTGGAGTTACAGATGAGCCGCCATGTGGGAAATGAACCCAAGAACTCTGCAAGAGCAGAAAGTGCTCCCAATGGCTGAGCCATCAAAGGCATATGCAGCAAATGGAAGGGGGTTTGCTATACCTCACTGTCCTTCAGAAAATCTTAGCTTTGGTGACTTGTTTCTTTAAAGGCTGTCCCACTTGTGACCAAAGAAAGAGATCACACACAGCAGCAGAAAATATGTATGGAGATGGATGTTTGCTCTAAACACTTGGCCGCTCAGTTAGGGATCTCTGAATGTTGAGATCACAGCTCTAGAAACATCTACCTTGAGAAAACAAAAGAAGGACAGATTTGTGGAGTCACAAAATGACAAGAGCGGTGAACCAGCCGGATCAGGTGACAAGTAGCAACAAATTTTTGTCTCGGCAAAGGCTTATTGTCTTTCTCCCCTGGGTGCAGAGAGCACACAGCTTATTTGATTATCAGTTAAAAAAAGACAGTCAATGACTATTAAATCCCACCTATGACTGTCTTTAAAGTGGGAAGAAGATTGTAAAGATAGACTTCATACAACCAAGTAAATATTCAGACAAGAATGAGAATTTAAGTCAATGGCAGATGTAGGGAGATGAGCGTGAAAGAGAGGATATTGGTTGGATAGGTGTTAGTTTAGGATACTGGCAGCTTGGTTGATTGTTTTATTTGGTGACTGACAAATTGAAACACCAACATGAATTTTGGTCCCAGAGCAGGTAGTTTATCATTGGCAATAGAGCACAGCCACAGTAAGAGTACATGCACTTGAGGCTGGCAGATGGCTCTGGGGGTGGGGGTGGGGTAAGCGTGCTTGCCATGAGAGCCTGGTAATCTGATTCTGCATCTCTAGCACTCAGGTCGAACTAGACATAGTAGTTCAAGCCTCTGAAATCCCAGGAGGTACTATAAGCGGATGGGGACAGACATAGGAGAATCTCCAGAAATTTGGGGACCAGCTAGAATGGCTTACATGGGGCAAAGAGATCCCATCTCAAACAAGGTGAAAAGACAAGGAACATTTCCGGGAGGTTTTGGTGTCCACATGCTTGCCGTTGCATGAGCATGCCTGAACACACACACACACACACACACACACACACACACACACACACACACACCACACCACACTCACATACACACACTCTCTCTCTCTCTCTCTCTCACACACACACACACACACACACACACTCACACAGACTCTCACACACAGACACAGACACACACACACTCACACAGACTCTCACACACAGACACAAACAGACACACACACACACACACACAGAGACACACAGATACACACACAGACACACATCCAGCCAGACATAAGCAGTCACAGACAGACAGATACACAGCTACACATACAGACACACACCCAGCCAGATACACCCAGATACAGACAGACAGACAGACAGACAGACACATACACCAACACGCACACATATACACACTCACACACAGACACACACACTCACACACAGACACACACAGTCACCGGGTTTCCTTTCACATGGTCTAAGATATGAGCTCTTTGTCTTGGAGGTCACCATTCTTTGCTTTGGAAAACCTCTTTAAGCTTCTAAGCTTCATTTTGTTCTCTGTAAACCAGGAATGGCAGCAGTCACTGGCTCGAAGGGCTTTTGTAGTCTATACTGGTCTATGGAAAGTGGCCATACACTAAAATCCTTAATGACGGCTCTTAACCTTGTTACTCTTTATTGCCATCATCCACCTCGCTTCCCAGGAACCTGCATTTCTTGACACAGCTTTCTTGCTGATCATTTTTCTGTAAACATCTGTGAACTGATGAGTTCATTTAGGGCTCTTCTGATGAGGCTTCTGTGTGGTCCTTAAAAAAAAAACCTGGACCAAAAAGTCGTCTTTTGTGCTGAAGTCATCAAAATTGTTTCTCACAAAGTGGTTTGTCTGGGTTAATTATGTGTGTGTATTATACTATAAACTCTCAGCATAAAGGGCCTACAGCTGGAGATGATTGTACGCAGAGAGAAGAGACTTTGCATTGATTGGTTAGCTGTTCCTGTCATTGTTTTTCATTGTCTTTTGAGTTTTTCCTTTGAATGCTGCGTGAAGTATTTGACGGTCATGGTGAATGCTGACCAACTGGCCTGGTTTCGGGGGAAGAGAGGATGCCTGTTTAAGGGAGATGCTGTCTGTGGGAAGCCCGCCATGGAGGGGGGCATATGTGCAGCCTGGCCTCATACTTGCAACACTAAAGAGGATGGAGGCCAAGACTCAAGACTGAGAAGCTGGAGGTAAGATGACTCATGGTCTCAACAGAGGAGACGGCATGGATTGGAGGAGATGGCATGGATTGGAGCACCATATTCAGGGTGGTACAGCAGCTGGAGAAGGGGGTGCTGGGGACCCCCAGGGAGGGAGCCTAGCCAGTTCTGTGGAAAATCAAAGTTGTGTGAGCGAGCATCTCCATCCATCCTAGTGTAGCAGTGGGAGACTGGGGTGGGGATAGGAGAGGCAGCAGTGAACAGGATTCTGTGATGCAGGTTCTGCATACCTGCCTTTTCATTTGCAGGTATGATTATTCATGTCTGGGGGAAAGACGGGGGGCAGTGATTAGGGACAGAGGGTTACCTACAAAGACAGCGCAGG